GATGGAAGAATCTTAAAGAGTACTTAACTCCAATTGGGTTATCACTAATACAGCAAAAAGTACAGTATGAAAGCTCTCCCTTACAAGAAACTTAAATACAGTCAGCAAAAGAAGTTATGCATCCACAGTTTACAGCAGAGAACAACCCAACTGAACTCCATTTCCAGACATACATGAATAGATGAAAACACGTGACTGATATTCAGTATCTGAAACTGGGCTGCACACACACTAACAGCCCAACCATTCCTGAACAAGAGATAGCTCATCCTGAAACAAATAAAAGTTAGCAGAAACACTTATTTTAGAACAGAGGGAACTCTGCTGACTTGTTCTGTTCATGAAATTAGCATTTCTAGAAATTTCTACAGTTGTTTCAAAACTAGGATTAGCAGAGGCACAGCAGCCATATAGGACACCGTATACTTTCTTAAAGTATAAGCATTTTTGTAAGGGAAAGACCAACCAGGTCTGCATATCAGCTGGAGTAGAAAGAGTATAAAGGAGCTGGTTTAGCACTCACGAGAAAAAACACCTGTAAGAACTTTGAAACAAAGTACTGGTGTTTGAGGGGAGGGGGTTCTTCCTTCTTCCTAAGCCCTTTTCCTTTCATGTGATTTCTCTTAAACTGTACATCTAATGGCAGGAATTATCTTATTATTAATCTTTGTAAGCCACTCTGGGAGCCTGTTTTGGCCCAAGGACTGGGTAAACATGTTGCAAATAGTTTCTGAGTAGCTGCCATTTAGCTTGCTTTTCCATCTTCTCCTTCCTCAATAACAGCTCAACTGTTAATGGTGCAAAACCTTAGTATTAACACCATTTGTGTAATGCAATAGAAAGAAGCCAAACTGCAAGTACCTATGTAGCCACAAAGCTAATTTCAGCTATCTTTGCGTTTACAATATATATACATTTACTGTACATATATTCCTAAAATAAGTCTCTGTAACTATTCTGTCTTATCTATGGTTTTTAGTGATGACAAGACTGTCAATTGTATTTTGGGACCAGCATACTTTCTGTTTTATTTAGCTCTAAATTAGAATTCCTTAATTTCTTTAGAACACATGCCCCTCCATTAGATTAGGAATGGAACTCTGGGAACATACAGTTTCCTCTGGGAATTTAAATGAACAGGATATCAATACTTTTAAAAATAGTAAAATTAATGAATATTCACTTTAGAGACCATCCTTAAGTTAAAGACTAGAGAAAAACCTTAGTTTGGAGGCCAATCAGGAGAAAAAGGTTGAATTTGTCTATAGCACAACTCTTACTCAGAAGTGAGCCCCAGTATGTTCAATGGGGTTTAGTTTCAGGAATGTGTGCAAAGCATCGCAGTCTTAATCACCTGAAATCCTACTGGTGTTTCTGTTTTTTTAAATTTAAGTATGCTTGAAATTAATAGCAAAGCTTGTGGAAACTACACCACTTTATATGAAAGCTGATTTTTAACAGCATATACAGAGTCTTGATTATGAGAATGCAAGAGGAAGAGATTCTAATTATAAATAGGCCAGAGTTTGTATGAGACCCATAAGATCACTTGCTGTTGGGAAACTCCCTCTTCTACTTTTATCACATCCTGAAAGGATACACAGACAAAAAAAAATCCCTGAAGAGTGCTGCTTCTTTCAAACCTGAGCTAGTGCCAACAGCTTTCAGAACAGAACAATGGCTTCAGGAGCATTCATAAGGAAACAATTCATTTCAGATATTTATGACCTAGGGTCAGACCTTGTTTTTTAAAAAAAACCACCCACATACACATCAAAAATTGAGCCCAAGTGTTATAAACTTTACTGTATTGTTCACAATGCACATAGTTGTGAGATCTGATATATAGACTAAAATGATACATAATGAAAAAACTTGATCTGACTGGATGTAGCTGAACAAGCACTATAGCTAGACCAACCACTGCATGGTACCACCGATTTTCTCAGCAGCTGTATCTAATTTAGGATACCATCCCCTGATCATGAATTTCTCCTGTTAGTTATCAACCAATATTCAAAGCAATTTTAATTTAATCTTTTCTGCACATAACTTAAATAATTATTGTTTCAAGAGCAATCTTTTAGTCTTCCAATATAAGGCAAATAAGAACAACAGAACTGCAATTTGCCTCACACCTGCTGATTTTCTTATTTCATTCAAAAATTCACCAGTAATGTTAGAAGTAAGTGCTAGGGACTATGGCACTATTTTAATTTTATTTAAATACTTAAGTTATGACCATGTAGCATCCAGAAATTCCTTTTTACTATTCTACACTGGTAGTATCTGTAGCACCATAGCTTCTCTAGGACTTTCTTGCACTGTCTAAATGTCTCCCATTTACTCTTTCCTAGCACTGCTTGAAATCTTCATGGAGTACTCTTATCCATTGAAAACACAGGTCCATTAGGATCCATTATTCTTATGCAACTAATACCTTTCATTTTATTTCAAGGAGCCCACCTTTCAGAGAATTCCCTCTGATAAAGCAGATAAAATGACAACTAGGAAGATAATCCAATTCAAGCAAGTTTAATACTCTCAGATCCACTTTAAGTGAACATTTCAATTTTGCAAAATTTAAAATGTTTCATGATATCATAACATAATTTCTTGTATCCTGGTTCCTAACCCTTATTGGGAACAAACAGTATGACCTCTCAGATTATTTTTACACACAGTAAGCATGATAGTTGTATTCTATATAGACAGAGAAATATATTAACCCAAAAGCTATACAAGTGGATGGGCTGCACAAATTTCTTATATTAACAGATATGAACTCTTAAGTTTCAGTTAAAAGGAATAGCATTTACAAAACAGATTTTCTCATTTTGCTTTCATTACATTATTAGTCATTTATTTACCTGTTGTCCTAGGTACTAAGAGGATAAGACCACTCAAGATATACTGAGATTTTTTTTAAAGAAAAGGTTTTTTTAAAAGAATACCAGAAGACACTGAGCAAAACAAGTAAGATAAATGGGCTAATATGAAGGCATTGATTGTGTCCCCACTGCTTGTAAAGCCCTAAGCAAAATGGCTTCCAAGACTCTAATGCAAGCAAAAGGAGAGATGAAGGCAATGTTCACCTCCCAATTCCTCCTACTCTGCATTTCAGCTAACCAAACTTTGTAGTCCATCTAGCTGAAGCACTTTAGAGGGGAAGCAAAAGAGGCTGAAGAGGAACCAGGATCTCTTTCGGATGTCAGAGTGCAGCCAGCACAGTTCTTTCCAGGCCAACTACAACAGAAGTGGAATACAGAAGTGTGACATCTCATTTTCTACGCCAGAACTCTGTTTCCAAAGTATCTGGAGACTCCAAAGTATCCTATGGCCCTCCAGACAATTTGCAGGGGCCACAGGATCATTCTCTGAGAAAATCAGCAGAGGCTGCACAGAACTATAAACACAACAGGAATAAGAAAACAGCCTAATTCCTACCCAAGAACTCCCCCAACTAGTACATTCCTGGCTTAGTCAACTCCAGCTAATGGTTACCCAAGAGCTATAATGACCTTATGGGGCCCTGAGATCAAAGACAAACGAAGTACAAACCTTGTAGTGTATTCTGAAAATGCCAGAAACACTAAAACCCCAATACTGTAGATGCAATTGCTTTCTGTTGGGAAGATTCATGCAGAGGCAGGTATCTGCATATACAGCTCATACAAATGCATATATGCATCATACTATCGCCTCTGTAGCACAATGCTCATCTGTGCTCCATTGAGCTGACTATGTGCATCTTTCGATGATGAGGTAGAGTGCTGAGAATCTTTTAATTAGGACAGCTAGCTGCTATATATGATTATTTGGTTGCAACTAGTTGGCTTACAGCTGTTACTAACATGCAATGCAAATGTATACTATCTACATAGAAGTATAAGGCTCCAATTCTATGCACAATTATCTGGAAACAAACACTATTAAAATAGTGAGACAGCCAAGAAGTCCTGGGCAGTATAAAAGTGTAATAAATCATAAATAAACTGGGCCATAATCCTAAAAAGGAGAGATTGTTTTTCTACCATTCATAAGATTGCAAAGTTGGTATAGTAGTACAATGACCAATTACTGACCTGGTTAGCACATTACACTGCAATTCCTGGGTTGTTTAACCCAAGAATTCCTGGAAACAAGCAAAATGACAAATGCACTGCTTCCCATATGTTTGTTGTTTCAGCTTTCAATTAACAATCCATTCCTGTGCAGCTTTGGACATGCAACCCTGAATCTTTGGATTGTGTATTGGAGAGGCTACCCAGAGTTAACAGAACAACTGCCCACAGTTTGTCACTGGATTAACTCTGGATTGTTTAACCTGTAAATGATCCAGTGTTCATGAGTTCACATCTCACAAAAATGGGGTGTGACATGCAAATTGCAGGAACTGCTATGTTGTAAGCCGCCCCGAGGCTTTGGCGAATGGGGCGGCATAAAAATGTTTTAATAAATAAATAAATGTGATATAAGAACCACTCCTATGTATGTCAGGTTAGCAAAGTAGCTTTAAGCAAAAGATAAGGATTTTTATGGGATAGGGAAAACCCTGAAGTACTTTATTCAGGCTTGTAAATTGCTAGAACTATCTAATTCATCTACACATTGCAGAACATCCACCTGAGGAAACAAAGTAATTTGAAATGTATTGTTATTTTTTTAAATACTTGCATGACCCATACATCACCTGGCTTCCTGAGCAGCTGCCATACAGTAAAATCAAACATAGTGCCAGAATATCAGATGCTCAAAGTTTGTAACTGAAAACTTAACAAGAAGCCTCCTTTTGACCATGCTACAAAGAACATCAGTATTTGATTCTGCAATTTTAAAGTCTAATCGTTCTCTTTGCCTAAACATGTACCCTATTAAGGATTCTTTCATTTTTCCATGCTTTTTTAAACAACAGCACTATTTCCTATTTTCAGCAGAACATTTAAACCATGGAATAGCATCCTAATTTCACCCTAATACGAAAAAAGGATAAGCCTTACCTGCCACCGTCCGTAACTGAACAAAAGTATTGCCATAGGGATGGCAGTGCCTGACATGGCATGGGTAGAAGGCATGCTGTATTCAGAGTTGTAGAAAACCTCCAGCTTCACCACTGGTGGAGACGCAGGCCTTGGCAAACGGATAACATCCTTGGTGCACTGACCCAGGTACATGACCCAAACCCAGATGATGATGAGCCTCCTGCCCATCCAAGCATCCACATTCCAGATACAGAACGGGAAAAACAGAATGTAGAAGAGTTCATTGCCCAGCTCTGTGCCTAGACTGAACAGGTAATAAAGAAAATGGTTTCTGATTGAGAACTGCTGGCAAACAGATTCCCCAGTCAGAGAGTTGCGACGAGGCTGTCTTTTAGAACCCCAGCCACTCGGCATTTCTTCCACCTTGGGCTCCTTGTGGGATTCCACCCCACAGGCCTCCCCATTCTTCATGCCATTCAAATGATCTGCATCACCCTTCTCATCCACTTTAGAAAGGTCTTGGAATCGGCGCCGTCTGCCACCTCCATCATCTGCCTGGGCAACAGGGCAGCTCCCATTGACCAACACGGCATCCGACTCCCCCACCTCCACTGGAGCCACAGAGGCAAGACCCCAGTCCGGGGGCACTTCCACGCCACAGAGCCGTTGGAACATGGCAACTTTCTCTGGATCCTGCAAATAGTTGTACAAGTGATGGAGCAGCGACATGCTGAAAGGCTTCTTCCCAGATTGTGCCTGGACCAAGGAAATCCAAAGTAAAGGATGATACGTAGGGGGCGGAGTTATCAGAACAGAGTCACGCTGAAGAAAAGAGAGAAGGGAGAACTTTAAGCTGCTTTTCTTCTTCTTCTTTTGAAAAGAGGGGAGCAAGGCTGAACAGCGACAACCCCCCCCCCCCTCACCAGAGCGTGGGCAGCCCACCCTGGGGCCATGGTAGAGGAACTATGGACTTAGCAGGAGTTTGGGCGACCCCGGGAAAAACGGAGGCGGGGGGGTGCCTGCATGAGGGGGCAAGGGGGAAGGCTGCCGTCGGGGGGCTAGACGGGAGGGACGGGGCAAGCAAGGGGGCTGAGGCGCGGGGCGGGGCTGTGAGGAAGCGGGAAAGGAGGCGTGTCGGGGGCGGCCTGAGGGGCTGGCGGTTAAATCCCCGCGTGGGGAGGCTGGCCGCCGAGCAGCTGCTTGGGGGGCCTGCGGGAGGTGTCCGCTGCTCGTCGCGGGGGCGTGTTTACCTGAGGCGAGGGAAGAGCGGGACGAGGAGCGGTTCTGCCTCATGGACGGGCGCGGAGCCCGGGGCACAGGCGGGGGCTCCGGCCGGCAGCTCGCGGTCCAGCCCAGGCACGCGGTGAGGGGCTCGCGCGCCGCTCGCTCAGCCGCTCGCTCGAACCGTCATCCGCCCGACGCCGCTCGGTCAGCCTTCCCTTCCCCTCCCCGCCGCCGCCGCTCCCGCGCGCACGCAGCTCCAGCCTCGCGACGTCCCGCCTGCTGCGCTTGCGCCCAGAACGTGGCCGCGCGCGCGCGCGAGCGCCCGCCAGAGGAGGGGGGAGGGGAGAGCGCGCGCGCGCTCAGAGGAGATGGAGAGGGAGGGGAGGTTTCTCGGGGAGGGAGAGCCGCTCGGCGAGCCGCGCACGCGCAGAAGCATCCCTCGGTTCCGAAGAGACGCGAAGCTTTTTCCTGGGCCTGTTAAAGCAGGGCAAGAAGAAGAATGATCGATACGTCTCTCTCTTTTATTATTCGTTTATTTATCTGTTCTATTTATGTCTTGCCTTTTATCTTACAACGAACTCAAAGCGGCTCACATCATTCTCCTCCTCCATCTTCTCCCCACAACAACAACCCTGTGAGGTAGGTTGGACTGAGAGTCTGTGACTGGCCCAAAGTCACCCAGCCAGTTGGATCCGTGACTGAGCGGGGACTAGAACCCAGATCGCCTGAGTCCCAGTCCCGCACTCTTAACCACTGCACCACATTGGGCCTCTTATCACCAGCGTTTTTGTTATTACATCGCATTTTTACCCTGCCTCTTTCAAGGATGACGGGACATAATTCCATTTTATCCTTTCAGCAACAACCCTATGAAGTAGGTTGGGCTGAGAGTTTGGCCCAAAATCACCCAGGGAACTAAAACCCAGAGCTCCCCAGTCCCTAGGCCAGCACTGTTGAACATTACACCAGCTGTCTTTCCCCCTCCTTATTTATTGATGCACTGAATTTATTATGATGATAATTTATTTAACTTCTGTACAGCCCAGTACCCAAAGTTCTTTAGGTGGTTTTTGACAATCCATTAAGAATACAATCTAAAATGCATCCTATTATAAAACATCATGAAAAAGTTGCTAAAGAAAATTTATAGCCAAATTTAAACATGTAATTTAAAACTTGTTGTGAAGTGCCCAGAAAGTTTTGGCTAATGGGTGGCACAGAACTATAATAATGATATTTGCTGCTCCAAGAGGCAATCTTATACCTAGTGGGACTTACTTCTGAATTGACATTATCTGATTGTGGTATTACGGTGAAATCCTATGCAGTCTTACCTGGGAGTAAATCTCATTGGACTTCTGATGCGCACGATATTCTCTTTGATTTAGTGATGGATCTTAAAAGGTTTGCATGCAAATATGGGCTGCGAAACAAGGCATGATAAATGGCGGAAAGGGTAAAATTGCCCAGAGAGACCTCAGCATGGAGACAGGCTATTTTCTGCTTGATTTTAAGCTTCTCACTGTTTGCTGCACTCCAGCAAAGCCTGTTTCTCTGTCATTTGCTATGCTAGAACCCTGTCAGTTACCATTAGGCAGTACTTCCCAGCATCTGACACTGCCACTCCTCCACTTTCCATCCCCCAGCCACTGCCTCAGGAAGCCAAGCAACTTTACAAGAACTGTCTGCCCCAAACTGTGCCAGACTGCAGTCCCACAATGTTCACAACAGTTCACAACAGTGAAAAACATTTCTGTACTTCCCTTCCCTTTCTACTGACACTTGAGAGAGAAGGAAGGTGGATCTATAGGCAGGGCTGAATAAGACAGCAGAGTTGGGAAAAGGAAATCTCCACAGCACTTGTTGCACAGACATGAACTATGCCACTGTATCCTGTGTAGGGATTTTGAGGGGGTGGATGGAGTCTCTTGGGAGAGAAGTAAGGAAATGGTAAACCAAGGGAAGGATTGCAGATATAGAGCAGCTGAGTAGGAATTCTGCTGGAAACTTCAACCTTGGTTTCCTTTGCATCATTGTAAGTATATGACATTGCATGTGGAGATGATAATATGGATTTACCTGGTGGGGTTGTTGTGTAGTTTATTGAGCCTCTGGGAGAGAAGAACCTACTGCTTGTCATGTGCACAAATACTCTTCTAGCTACCATGTACCTTCCTGTGAATTATAATTGCAAACTTCTTTGAGGAACAATCTTGGCTGAAGAGCAGGGTATAAATATGTTGCATTAATAGTATGTATGGAACATTTTGAACTTGCAAATATGATAATTATACACAGAGCACTGGAAATGCTGCAATTTGTGCTGATAAGTCATGATTATTTTTTTAAAAGAGAATGTCTAAATAACTGCCAAAATGCTTCCCATTCTCCAAGTAAGCAACTTCCTTCCTTCCTTCCTGACCAAAACAGCCACCTCTAAAACAAAAACTGATTGATTGTTGAAAAGAGAGAGATGTCAAGCTGGGCCAGCAATTATGCTCCTAAGTATAGAAACCCTTCAGTCCTTCTAATCCCAAATGTGTCTGAGTCATATAGAGGATTGTTGTTCAATGATAAAGCACATGATTTGCATAAAGAAGCTCCTGGACTTGATTTCCAGTTTCTCCAAACAAGACTAGAAAAGAATGAAACCCTGAAGATCCACTGACAGTAAGTGGCTGGGTGCAGACAACATGATAACCCACATACAATTCTTTTATGTGGGTAGTCACTTAATCATGGGTTGTTGAAACTGTGCTGAACAACCCATGATGCACAACAACAAACCATGGTTTTCTTTCATGGCTTGTTCATGGTTAACACAATGAGGTTCAGACAACACGTAATCAAAGTACAACGTTAATTGGTTCTCTTCTACACTGGGTCTGAAGGGGCATGTATCAGCCACCTTTGCTCTCTAGGCATACTCAAGCATTTACAGAAGCTTCAGATGGGAAATTGCCTCATGTAGAACCAGTCCCCTGCCTGTGCCTTCTAGCAGCTCTCCAAGATCTTAGGCCCAAGATATTTTGCAGCCTCCAAAGTAGCAGCAAATGGCATCCCCATGTCAAGCAGCAGATAACCAAAACCTCATCAGGTTGATTGGGTGTGTGAGGCAGAATATCCCACACATATGTCTCCCTCCCGTGACAGTGAAAATGCAGCAATTATAAACAAGTGAAATAACTAATGGCTGACCATCCATGACACCTGGAATCAGCTGAATGAAGTTTCTGCCTCTGCTTAATGATAGGGCCAGCCCAGTTGAATGTAAAGGTCTTTTTCTCCCTTCTAATTTGACAGTCTAATGACTTTTCAAATTATTTGTATCATATTCCTGTGGTTGGGTTTGGGCAATCACCTGCGGGGGGAACCCTTGATTCTAGTCACATACCACCCAGTTTTCCCAATTATCCTTGTGCGCATGGCTGCACATCTTGTCTGAACCCAGAATGGTGTGCAGCAGGGATGCTTTTAAGCTACCCAGAACCCACGACTTGTTGTGAGGTTCCGGGCTGCTTTCAAAACCATGCATCTTGCCAAGTTCAGATGGCACAGGCCACAGTGCAGCCACCATGCTTTCTTTCCCTCGAGTGATTATCCAAACCTGTCCAGTCTTCAGCCTCAAAACCCTCATGTCCTGAGTCTGCACAGCTTCCAGTGTCTCACCTTGAAAGTAAAGAACATCAGTTGCCTCAGATGGCCTGAAGGACTTTGCCCAGCTGTTGTGGTTATCTTTTAGCATCAGTCTCCCAGACAAGGGCAAGGTACAGGAAACGTAAGCACCTCCGGATCAATTGAAAAGCAACCAACTTTCACTTTTGTGTGCATTTGGTTTCTGTGTTTGGGCAAGGCAAACATTCAGCATGGCTTCTTGCCTGGTGGACTTTCTTGCAAATACCAAACCAGAGTCCAGATTAATCGCATTACAGGCAATGAAGTAATACGCATGTCTTGGAACAGTCATGAATACCCTTCCTTCCTGTTCTCATCTTTAGTTTGTCTTTGCTTTACTGCCATTACTTTTCACAAATACAAGGATGCCAAGGTTACAGGATCACTGTAAATTATGTTTGACTAAAGATTATGTCTGTGCCCTGTCCTTCCTCCAAGGAGTTCAGGGCCATGTATGTGGAATTACCCCTTTTTATTGTTGTTTATTGGACAATTGCTGGAGATTACTTTAATGGCCCAAGCAAGTGTCTCCTTTGTCAGGGAATTACAAGTAAATGCCTTAAGGCAAGTAATTCTGATCTGCCCAGAGGAGCCACTCTGGGGGAGGGAGCAAAAGGGATACCTTTCTTTCCCTCTTCTACTGCTCCAGCTCCATCTACCACTCCATCTGCAGATGAAGGGCAAGTTCACATGACAGAACAAACCGTGATGGTTTCTTGTGTCTATTGTGTTGTCCAAACCCTGTTGTGGTATTTCAGCATGGTACATTTTTGTTTTTAGGAACTACAAAAGAAACAACAGTCTGTTCTATGGTTTCAGTGCTTCATCATAGCATTTCTGGTTGTCTCAACCCAGCATCGTGGCGACCATGATCTTGGTATGCAGCTACCACAGAGTCCACTGGAAAGAGAGGCAGCTGCTTCAGCCAATCCAGCCATCCAAGGTGGGATTGAATTTCAGGCATGGTGGCTGATGGGACACATGCCTAGAGTGGAAGAACTGAGTGGGGAGGGTGGAAACTATGCTAGCTTAGAAACCGCTCAGTCATCTGTCAGGCACATCCAGGCAAAACGCCATGGAAACAACGCAGAGTTGCTTGCCATGACATGAGAAGCCAGCCAATGACATCTAGTTCAGGGTTCAGCAGAAGCGAGATGAGGATCTACTGAACAGTATTACGTCTCCAAATGATATGTCAAAGGGGCTTCTACCACCAATGCATTCATGGTGACTGCAGAAGGCATTTTATCCGTCTCAACTAGGCTACTGAAATCGGAAATTCTTGAAGAGGAGATCTTTATGGGAAAGGATCTTTGCACAGTCTTGAGTTCCACTCCTGGAAATAAATCCCTGGGCTGAGCATGAGCTTGTGGGCTGCTTGTTTCACAGGGCTATGTACTGCTTGAGGCCCCGATTCATGGTGTCAGGGTAAAGAACATTTGCCCTGTACTGTACATACAGGGGCGCCAGCTCCCTCATCTTGTCATCCGGCA